ATTAAGTGTGCCTAAACGCAAGTCATTTTGAAAACAGTAGAGTATGCCAGGTCTGTTGTAGGAGCAGAGTGGCGCAGCGGAAGCGTGCTGGCCCATAACCCAGAGGTCGATGGATCGAAACCATCCTCTGCTAAGGCTTCTTCACTTATGTACATCTTTTATCCCAAATAAAGAGCAACTTCAAATCTCCTTGTTCATTCAGAAAATCTATGTGTTTGTGTGTGTATGCCCTGTTAAAACACCTCATTCATTAAGCCACCGAAAGAGATGGAAAAATTAGTAGGGCAAGCGAGTCATGCCCCAGTGCCCTATCAAAATAGTCGTTCACCTGGATTACTGTGTGCTTGCTTGTTTAATGCCAATGCTGCTGTTGTCACTTGAAGCCAAAGTAATGTGGGCACATGAGCAGAAGTTTTAAACAGCCCCCAGTGGCCTAATGGATAAGGCACTGGCCTCCTAAGCCAGGATTGTGGGTTCGAGTCCCATCTGGGGTGGTTTGCAGCAGAGTGGCGCAGCGGAAGCGTGCTGGGCCCATAACCCAGAGGTCGATGGAGCGAAACCATCCTCTGCTAAGACTGCTTACCTTATGTACAAAGTCTGTTCCTACTTGAAGAAAAGAATCCTCAGTTGCAAAAGAGTACTTTAGTGTGCCTAAATACAAGTCATTTTGAAAATAGTAGAGTATGGCAAGTAAGTAGTAGGGAGCAGAGTGGCGCAGCGGAAGCGTGCTGGGCCCATAACCAGAGGTCGATGGATCGAAACCATCCTCTGCTAAGACTGGTTTCCTTATGTACATAGTCTGTTCCTACTTGAAGAAAAGTTTTCTCAGCTGTATGCTAAAACCCTCTGCATTCTTCACTTGTTCTAATCGATGAAAGAAGAGCACTTTAAGTGTGCCTAAACGCAAGTCATTTTGAAAACAGTAGAGTATGCCAGGTCTGTTGTAGGGAGCAAAGTGTAATCCGGGAGTAGAGTACTTTAAGTGTGCCTAAATACAAGTCATTTTGAAAATAGTAGAGTATGGCAAGTAAGTAGTAGGGAGCAGAGTGGCGCAGCGGAAGCGTGCTGGGCCCATAACCCAGAGGTCGATGGATCGAACCATCCTCTGCTAAGACTTCTTTACT